TTTTAAAAAAAAANGTAAAACAACGAAATTAAAAGAAAAAGAGGTAGACCCGTAGGATCTAAAAACAAACCTAAAAAAGTAGAAAAGCTTAAAGAAAGGTAAAAAATAAACATCTTCCGTATATAATTATTATTGTATTACTTTTAAATTAAGTTCGAAAAAACCGATTTAACTAATAATTTAAAAAAATATTCATAACTATTTAATAATAACTCCTAAAACTAAACAATGCTATTACCCATTTGAAATAATAGTTGATTACACTCCCTAATACAAGTAATTAAATAATAATAATATATTATAATAAAATCGTAATATTCATAAATATAAAATAGTATTGATTACAAACAAAATATTAGTATTGTTCCTAAATTACTTTTGGATTTCTAACCTCATATACCTGGATTTATAATGAATTTTGATAAGGTAAAATACTTATAAAAATATTTTTTTTAATTAATTTTATAAATCCAGATATACTATGACAAAAATAATTAACGACACATTAATGACCATTAAAACAAAATAACAGAATACACATAACATAAGAAATAATTAGTATTTTAATTAAATTTTTACTTTTTTTTTAATTTATTATATTATTATATTTATTTATTTTTATTATATTTATTATTTTTATAAAAGCTTTAACCAAAACCAGGAAAAAGACATAATTATTGTTGTGTTTGCAAATAATAATATGATGATTATTTAAATGTAATAAAAAAATATAAAAAAAATTATTTTATTTTTTTAAAATATTATAAATTAGCATGTCAAATCATAAAATCATAAAAAAATTTTAGAAACAATAAATTTACTTAACTTATAACAAATATAAGTTAAAGTATTTAAATCGAAATTAGATAAAACTAAATTTCTTAATTTTAAATATTACAATAAATAACAAACTCTGAATCTTTAACTGAATAATAGTATACAAACGATACATTTGATATTTTTGATGATTCTTATTAAAAAAATAATAATAATAATTATTAAATTCCTAATAAAATAGCTAAATTTGATAAAACTTTGTCTACAAAAATTAATGAAATAAACAATAATAATACAAATTTCTTATATGGATAATATTCAAATACTATTCCTTATAATTAATAAAATGCAGTAGGAGATTTTAATGGTGAGTTTAATTTTACTATTAATGGAAAAAGGAATATGTAGGATGCTAATTTAGAAAAAGAATGCGAAATAAAAGATAATATAAGAAAATAATAAAAAATAAACGAAATTAATAAAATATAAAAATAAGGTTAAGAATTTAATAACTTTTTTAAATTAAAAAATAAAGTATGAAAAAAAAAAAAAAAAATATTAGAAATCAAATAAAATAATTAAAAAATATATATAAAAATATTTTTTCATTATTATTAATTGTTTATTTATTTAGTTTTACTTTATATAATATTTTGAGGAAAAAAAAAAAATTATATATTTGCTTTATTATATAAAATTATTATAAAATTTAATTAATTATATTTATTTCTACATATATTTTTTAATTTTATATTGTTTAATTTCTCGTATTTTTTATATTATTATATTAAATATTTTCCTCTATTTTATATATTTAAAATAAAAATAATTTCTTTTATTAAAAAAATAATAAAATGAAAGAAAATAAAATAAAATATTAATATAAATATTATTTCATTTATATTATCTTCTTATAAATATTTTTATTATTTTTTCTTTCATAAATAAGAATATTTATCTATTATTTTAAATATTTATATTAATTTTGTTTAAAAAATATAACAGAATATAAAGAAAATAACAATAAAAATATAAAATTATTATTTTTATTTTATTAAACATATTTATTTTTATAAATCACTCTTTTGGTTTCTTTTTCATTCTTAATTAATTAGAATGTCCGCATTTTCTCTTTCTGCAATTAGTTGCTTTAGGGGGTAATCTTGCATAACAATCTCTGCATACTTTTTTTTCACAATTATATTTTTTTGCTAGAGCCGCAATAGTAGGTTCCATTGCTCCGCCTCTTAATCTTAAAACTAAATGGAGAGTTGACTCCTTTTAAATATTGTAATCTGAAAGTGTTCTTCCATCTTCTAATTATTTTCCTGCGAAAATTAATCTTTATTAATCTGGAGGAATACCTTCCTTATCTTAAATCTTGGCTTTTACGTTTTCAATTGAATCAGAAGCTTCTACGTCTAATGTAATAGTTTTTCCAGTTAAGGTTTTAACAAAAATTTACATTTTTTTTTATTTTAAATAATAATAAATTTAGTAAAAATATTAAAATAAAATTATCTTTAACTTTTATTTTATTTATAAAAATATATAATAATTTTATATTTTCTAATTTTTATTTAATTATATTTAAAATTTTTTTACTTTGAAATATATATAAATATTAAATATTTTTAATTTAAAAAAAATAAAGCAAATTTTAAACAGTTATAATAAATTTAAAAATTTGTAATTAATATAAAACCATTTTTTAAAAATTTAAGATTATTGGTTTATTGATATTAACAAAATAGTGAAATTCAAAATAAAATTGTAAAAAATAAAGATATTAGTATTTCATATTAATAGATAATAAAAAAAAATTAAGGGGAAAAATATTTTATTAAAAATAAATATTTAGTTTTTAATTTCTATTAAAATAAATTATAAATTATATTATCTTTTTTAAAATGTTTATCAAGAATATTATAATATTTTATTTTTAGTTTATAAAGAAAAAAAATTATATAATTATATAATAAAAATCTTATTAATGATTTAAAAATTAGATAATTATGAAACTAATATATATGCCTATATATATAAATAGTTTTTACTAAAATTTAAAAGAATAAATTCACAAAAACAGAAAAATAAGTATTTTAACATGAAAGTAATAAAATTAAAATTAAAGTTATTTTTTATTTATAAATTAAAATAAAAACAAAAAATTATAATAATAAAAATAGAAATTTTTAAAAAATAATAATTAATTAGAATTAAACATAATACATTAAAAAAGAAAAATGCTTAAATATATGCTGAATTCGAAAAAATATATTAAAATATAATTTATATTTATGACCTAAAATTTTATATTTAAATAATTTAAAAAATAAAAATGAGCAAATTATATTATAAAATAAAAATTATTAATAAAATAACAAAATCGTCCGTCTAAAAATACTAAATATGGTAAACTGTATAATGGATAGTAAGTAACTCAAAATATAAGCAGAAATTCCACCAAAAGAAAATCCAGAAAAATAAAGAATTCGAAGAATTTAATTAATAAATAAAGCAAAGAAATACGTTAATAAAAGATAAAATAATTTTTTTTAATTTTTAAGAAGAATAAATTATATAAAATTAATTATATATAAATAAAATAAAATAAATTAATTAAAATAAATAAATAAATAAATAAATAAATAAATAAATATATTGAATATATATTTCTGAAACCAATTTATTTTTAATAATATCAATCATTTTTTTTATAAATTTTTTCTAAGTAATTTTACTCAGAGTTGTACATATTCCAAATTATTTCATTATAATATCTTTTAAACTAAAAAAACTAAGAATAATATCTTATTTTTTTAGTGTTTTCTGGAGGAAAAATTCTTTTAAAATTCTGACCTTTTCTATAAAACTCTTCATCAGTTTAAAACATGACTTCCCAATCTTAATCACTGAGCAAATCAAAGCAATTATCATAATTTAATTCACTAATACATTTAATATCTCTGGAAAATAAAATTTTATTTTCTTCTACAACATTTATATTTTAATTTATTTTACTATATTATTATTATTATTTTTTATACTATTTTTTATAATAACCTTAAAATCCTACAATATGTAAAATATCACATATTAATGAGGTTTTTATTATTTTATCCAAAGGTGAAGTAGAACTTAAAGAAGGGCAAACATTTACTTCCAAAAGCCAAACTTTTAAATTTTTATCAACAAGAACATCAAACCCATATAATTCAAAGCAATTATTTCGATGTTCAGGTTATTTATTTATTGAGTTTAGCATAAAAGGTTCTACTGCAATACATGTTTTAATAATAATATCGTGTATTTGTGAAAATATTTTATTTACATCAATATTTCTTTCTTTCATTCTTTATTTATAAGTCCTTAATGACCATTTACTTCCGTTTTCAGAATTATTATTTTCAACTGTTTTAACAAAATTAGTAGATTTTTTGTTTACACTATAATTTGTTAAATGAATGAATTTTTTTTTTAGATTTTTAGCCTTACAATCATATTTTTATGTAGCGAATCTTACCAATCCATCTTCATAAATATAAATTCTTAATGGATCATAAGAAGTAACAAGAACATAAATCCTAAGATCGTATTTATACCCATTTATAAGATGAGGATTTTTAATGTATTATTATACAAGGTAATTATTTTATCTTTTTTTAGAAATATTTCCTTTTTTCTTCCCCATAAAATGCTGACAAATACGAATTCCTCTACCACATGCAGAAGCTACAGGCTTCCAAATCCAAATTTGTTTATTTTTTTTTTTATTTATTTTATTAACGAATGCTTCCCATTCACATTTTAATAAATAAGTAGTAGGCAAAAAATTATATTCTTTAGGAAATTATCTTTTCATTTTAGATTAACGCATCCATAATAAATCTTTTCTTCCTAAATTCCAACATCCTGGGAAATGGTTAGTTTTTTAAAATTTGTTCATTTTCTTAGTATTTCTCATTTTTCCTGCCCAATGTCCATTCCAATCATTGAGTTCTTATTAGCATTTTCTAAAACCTGCATTTTCAAAACATTAAGTAACACAATAAAATGGTTTTAATACTGAGCCTGTAGAATATTTTAAATCATATTTTTATATTATTTATTTCTCTTTTATTTCAAATGTTCTTGCTTTATCTCTTTTTTAATTACATACGCTTGGGTATTCAAAAAATATTGTTGCTGGTCTACCCTTATATATTGAGTATTAAAATATTATTGTTTCATTTTTTTTATTTTGAATAGGTATTTCGGGTATTTCGGTATTTTTTATTATTAAGCTACTTAAACATTATTCACTTTGATTTCTATGACTTATTTCTGATTAGTCTTTTATCATTTTTAAAATATTATTATCACTTTCGTCTAATACGTAATATTAGGAAGATTCTTACTCTTGCTAAGACACGTTTATTTTTTTTTCATTATTTTATTATACTTATTAGAGTTTCTCTGCTTCTTCTTCTACTTCTTCCAGAATTCTTTTTTAGCTGTACTTCAGTTCATTTTTTGTTAAACTATGTCTTTATTTTAATTATTTTATTACTTTTTTATTTACTTATTGTGAATTTTAGGCTACTTACTAATAAGAATCTGTTTATAATAATAGACTTGAGCTTAATTTTTTTTAAATTTGTATTAATTTATAATTATTAATTGATTCTTGCTTTTTATTAGTTTAAGCTTAATATTTATTGTTATTTCTAACAAGATTATTATTGCTAAAACAACCAATATTATTTTGATTATATTTTTTAAAATTATTATTATACAATTACGACAGTTATTCTTTATTTTTACTACTACTTTTATTTCTTTATATTTATGTACGAGATATTGAAGTAATTAATCTTTTACTCTAAACACTTTCATTTACTTAAAACTGTTTTTTCTAAAGGTCTTATATCTGTTCATAACTTAATTTTTGAAGGAGATTGTGATCTATTTTGTATTTAAAATATTTTTAATTGTTATTTGAATTTTGCTGATTTTAAAATAGATTTCCAAATTATAATTAACTTTTACTATGGTTTTAATGAATGATTTTTTTTCTATTATCTATAGATGATGTTATTATTTCATTATCTGATATTTTATTTTAAATTGATTTAACTTTTTAATAAAATTCATTAGCTGTTAATTATACTAAAGGCTTAATTGATTATGATTTATTTTCTTTTGATTGCTAAAATTAATATTAAAATAATCTTTACTGCCTGTTAATTATTTCTAATCAATTTTAGTTAGATTTGGATATATGGTAATGTTTGGATTTTAATTTTTTTGTCTTTGAATTATGTATCTATTACTCTATCATAAATTAATATTATTTGTATTTTTTTATATAGTATATAATTAATTAAATTCATTTTAAATTTGTTGCCATGTTTTGTTTGATTCTTATAATATACATTAAGAATTTTTTTTTGTATTTTTTATGCCTTTTATTAAATTATATTTTGATTCAAATTCTAAAAATGTTATTATGTTTTTTCATTCTATTTTGTATTTTATAAAAATAGGTTTTGCTTCTAATAAATAAAATTATTCATTTTGTTTCTTTTAATTTTATTTTTTTATTAAATTTATTGAATGCTTTTAAATTTTGATTATAAATTAATAATCTATTTGATTTTATTTTAAAAAATAGCATTTATAAAATATAAAAATTTAAAAATTATTTATTATAGTTTAGTATATTTTTTCGCTTGTTAATTTTAATTATTTTATTCAAATATATAATAAAAAATGTATAATTTATTATTATTTTAGGTATCATGAAAATTTTAAATTATTCTTCTAAAATTTTTATTTTATTATTTCTGTAATTTTTTAAAAAAATTTAATCAACAAAATTAAGGGTCGTTTATATCTATTTTTTCTCTCTTTTCCTTTATTGAGTTTTTTTTTTTAAAAAAAAAAATATGAATAAATATTATTTTATTTTATATGAAAATAATATTTTATTTAATATGGAATTAATATAGTTTACAAAAATTAATAAATCAAATAATTTTTAATTTATAATATTTTTATTTGATTTATATATTCGTCATATAATAATATAATACTATTTATTTTGGTATAATATTAAATTATAATAATATATAAATATTATTTAAATAATATCATTTATTAATATAATAAAAATCAAATCTTTAAAACTATATTATTTATTAAGAAAATCAAATAAAAAAGCAAATAATATGTTAATTAGCTTAATAGCCAATTTAGTTTATATAATAATTTTTATTTGACGTATTTATATTATTATCAAATATATTTAAATTAATAAATTGGTACTATTAATTGTATCTTCTAAAAAATTGATAAAATAAAGTTATTAATATACAAATAAAAATATTATATCATGATTTATTAATATAAATAAAAAGATTTTTTAATAAATATTTTTTTTTTTTTCTTTTATTTATAAATAAGTAAAATTTATATTTGCTCTACTTAATTTTATTACCTCTAATTTTATTAATAATAAAAATAAATTAAAAATTAAAATTAAAATTTAATAACATATAGTTGTTTGCTAATATTATTAAAATTTTAAAAATATATATTAAAATAAATATCAAATTCACAATATAAAAAAAGCAAAAAAAACATACCTTTTTTTTCATATTAAAAGAAATTTTTATTTTTAATAAAAAATAATAATACTTTCTTCTTTAATTTTAATATAATAAATAGAATTTTAATAAAAATAATTTTTTTTGGCAATTAAGTAAATGTAAAAGTAAAAATAAACTACAAAATATAATTATAATATTTAATTATTTTAATGTAAAATGAATACAAATGTTCTTGAATTATATAAAAATAGATAAAAATATATTTAAAGTAAAATAATTACTATTTTAATTTTAAATTAAAATAAAAAATTTGAATTATATTAAAGAAAAACTATTATTTTATTATTCTTCAAAAAAAATTATCTTATAATAAACACAAAACTAAAAACAAAACAAAAATGGAATCGTTAGTATCTTTAAATTCTATTATTTTATTTTTTGTAAAATTTAATAAATTTAAAGATAAAAAAAAAGAATACGAAAAATTATCTCTTAGAAAAGCTTGTTGAGAATAACAAATCAAATAATTATTTTTCTTAGTTTACTTAGATCTAAAATAGCAATTAATGTAATTACTTAAATATAAATATAAAATAAAAAAAAAAATATTACATTTTTTTTATTTATTTAATTTATTTATTTTTATTTTACAAAATATAAAAAATGATAGGCAGTTTGATAACTCCTTAAGTTTTTTGGTTTATAATATGTAATTAATATTTTCCAAGGTCTTTAGTATTTAATGGTTTAGAACCATTTGAATATTTAGATTATTAGATTTATTAGATTAAGTCGTCAAATCTCGTTTAAAAAATAAGAATAAATGATGTAAATTTAATAAAATAATTTAAATAAAGATTTTTTATTTTTTATAATTTTATATATTTATTTATCTTTCATTATTTTATATATTTAAATTTCTTTATTTATAAAAAGAAATTAATAGAAAATAACAAAATTATTAAAAATGATTAAAATAATGATATTTTATAATTAATAAAAAATAAAATATAGAATATATTTTCTTTATAAAAAATAAATAAAGAATAATTATTTTAAATAAAATTTGATTAATATAAATACGATTATTCAATAGAAGATGACTTATATATAATTTCTGTAAGATATGACTTAATCTAATTATACGATATAATAATGAAATAACAAAATTAAACAATCTAAAATTTAAATTAAAATAATTAAGTCATAAAAAATACTGAAGAATAGGTTTCTAAGTTAAATATAATTGAATAAGATGAAATAATTTAAGAAGAAATTAATAAAGATTCAAAGTAAATAGACTTAGGAAATCTTGATATAATGAAAAAGTTAGATTTAGATGAAATAATAATTTTATATAATTTATAATTAAATTAAATATAGGAAGATAATAATGATATAATTAAAAATATTAAACATAATATATTTTAAGAAACATAAACTGAAAAAAGAATTTATTAAAAATCTGATTTAGATTTAGATGATATACTTACAGACATTTAGTCATTGAATAGTATTGAGAAGGATTATCTAAAGCATTTGACACATATTTAGCAATAATAATAAGAGATTAATTGTGAAAAAACAAATAATAATTTATATGATAAACAAAATAAAATAAAAATTCATATGGAAGATGTTAATTGCTAAATATGTAATGATGGAGATTATGCAGATGATGATTTAATTGTCTTTTGTGCAGTATAAAATATACATAATTTTATTTTTATTTTTTTTAATAAAAAGAAATGTAATATTTCTGTTCATTAAAAATGCTATGGAATTCCTAAAATTCCTAATGAAGATTGGATTTGCGAATTATGTCTTAATTTTGGGCCAAACGGAAGATTTTTAAGATGCCCATTATGTCCAAAAGAGGCGGAGCAATGAAACCTAGTAAACATTGATATCTTAAGATATATTTTAGGATAAAAATCCTTAATATAGCTAATTTTAAAAATAATGTATGGAAATACAATAAAATAATTTGAAAAAAGAAGAAAAAATAAAAGAGAAAATAACATATTTTTAAAAAGATGGACTTTATTATGATTATTAAAACTTACTTAAAAATGAATAAGATTATTAAACTGAATTATTTTCTGAACCTTAGCCTAAATATATTTGGTGTCATATTTCTTGTGTTTTTTATATTCCTGAATGCTTTTTTGAGGAAAAATTTCTTTATAATAATATAAAAGGTTTAGAAAAAATAGATTCTTCTAGGTTTGAATAATAATGTTCTATTTGTAAATCAAAAAGTAATCTTTTTATATTATTGAGAATAAAATATTATTTTTATAATTAAAAATAAAATAAAAAATAGATGAAGGAGCATGTGTTTAATGTTCTAAAAATAAATGTATTCACTCGTTTCATCCTGAATGCGCGAGAATATAAAATATTTATCTTGAAATTTAGAAATATGATAATTAATAATTTATTATATATTGTGAAAATCACAAACCACTTAAAATTATAAAAGTTTTAGATAATAAAGAAAAGAAATATAGAGTTAATAAATAATATTTTAAAAAATTTAATATTTATATTATACATTTATTTATTTTATAAAATTTAATATATTCTATTTTTTGTTAGAGTGAAATAATGAGGTTTCTTAGATTTATTCAAAAGTCAAAATAACAAAGACAAAAAAATAATCAAAAGCTAAAGAAAATTAAATAAAAAAAACTATAAAAATAAAAAGAATAAAGTATAAACAAAAAAATAAAGAAATAACTAAGGAAAAAAAATGATAAAAAAATGATTAAGTTTCTAATAAATTAATTAATTTAAAACTATAAAGCTGATTAAGATATTATTTATCTAAAAAAAATATATGATATTAATAGTTAAAAGAAATAAGTAAATCTATTATAAGAATAAAACTAAAATAGCATTTTCAATATATAAAACTAAAATTAAAATACATAATAAATTATGATAAACGATAACAACAATAATATTATAAATAAAATTTAGAAAAACAAAGAAATATAATATAAAATAGTTAAATTTCCAGTTTATGAATTTTGTGATAATTTTAAAACTTTAGTAAATTAATAAGATTTTCATAAACTCATAAATTGCGAAGATAATGAATAGCAAAAATAATTATTTAAAAAATATTCAAATATATAAAAAACAAAAAATTAAAAAAGAATATTTTAGTTAATGCTTATTAATAAAATTGGGAAAAAATAAAAAGATTTGAATAATAAAACTACTAAAATTAAAAATAGAAATAAACTTTTGAAAATTAAAAAGAAAATAAGAAAAGAAAAAAAGAACAAAAACAAAATAGCTGAAAAAAAAGAATTGTAAGAAATTAGAAGACAAAAAAAACAAAACTAAATTAATAGAAAAGCCTTAAAATAATAATAAAAAAACCAAATTTAATAAATAATTGATGAAAAATAAAACTTTATTATACCAAATAATTATGAAGCAGTAAATGGTATTTTATTACAAACAAATAAATATAATTTAAAATTAAATATAGAAGATTCTAGCTAAGTTTATTGTGTATGTAGAAAAGCTTATACTTATGGAGATTAAATGATGGGTAATTTTTTTCAAATATTACATATTTTATTTTTACTAAAAAAGCCTGTGAAAGATGTGAAGAATGGTATCATTTTAAATGTATAGGATATCATGGTAATTTTTAAATGGCAGAGAAAATTTAATTTGTTTGTATGAAATGTAATCTGAAAGAGGATTATTTGTAATAAGTGGCAAGGTTTAAGGAATATGAGACATTATTTTAAAAATATTAAAAGAAAAGTTAAAAAATTAGAAAAGAATTCTTTAAAAAAAGAGAAATTAAAATATAATAAAAAGAAATTAATTATTAATAATTCAATGTAGACTAATAAAATAACAATTAAAATTAAAATTTTTAAGATAAAAAAGTAATTTTTATAAATTTTAATAATTTTTTATTTATAATAAAATAAATTAGATGAATAAAACTGATAAAATATTATTAAAAGATTCTTCTAATAATTCTGAAAATATTACAGTGTTATGTTAATAATAAGATAATGCAAATTTAATTTTATAATGAAGAATAATAAAGTTTATTGTTTTTTTTTTTATATATATAGTCTACATTATATTAAATATAATATTATTTTGTAATTTAATTAAAAATTAAAAAATATTAAACCCATATAACATATTAAAAGAATATTAAATTAAAATATTTATTTTGAATTTATTTGAAAATATTTAACTAAAATAAACATTTTAAGTTTATTTAAATATACTTATTTAGGTATAATAAACTTGATAATAATAAATATAAAAAAAACTTATTTTTAAAAAATATTCTGCTTTAAAGAAAAATAACAATAAAAAATATATAATAGATGGTATATATAATAAATTAAAAAAATCAATATATAAAAAAATTTAAATATTTAATTTTTTCCTTTTTTCATATTTCAGGTTTCATTATCTTCTATTCATCTTCTTAGACTAAATATAAAAATTAAAATATATAAAATTAAATATATATTGATAAATACTTTTATCTTAATTAATATTTTTTTATTTTGTCTTTTTCTTCTTAAAAATAGATTCCAAAAACTTAACATTTTAATTGTAAATAATATCATTACTTTGTTAACGCTATTCCTCAGTAACATTTTAAAAAATGTGGTAAGTTTTAATTATAATAGATCTTATTTTTAAAATTAAATTCTTATCTTCTAATTATTTATTAGTTTGTGCTTATTTCATACTTAATTTATACAATTCATAGACTTATTTTTATAGCCTATGAGAATCTTCTCCCTATTTAATAATTTCATTTAAAACGTTAGTCAAATCATTTAAAGTTATATTGAATAAATGTTTATAAATTCTATTTACTTTTTCAGTTTTATCTTGAGTTAATTATGCTACAAGCTATTTTTTTTATTTTAATACAAAAAATAAAATAAATAATAACCTTGATAATTTTTTTATTTAAAAGCATCAATTTTTCTAAATCATGCTATTATTTTAGTAAAAAGCTCATAAACTTAATATATTTGTATTTTTCTAACATAAAGCATAAATCTTTAGTAAATAAAATTGATAACTTATTATCTTTTTCAATTGGTTAGTTTTCAAAATAGGTATAAAAATTAACAATATCATCCAAATTCAAATTAAAAATTTCCCCAAGAAGTCCTGCTGACTTATTGAAATCTCCAGAAAGGAAATGAATGATTTTAGATGAATAATAAAAACTTCTAATCATAAATCTTTTATATTTGAATTTTTTTATATGTTACTTTTGTGTAATTTAACTAAATTAAAACAACATATTATTAATAATAAGTTCAATTTGTTATCCAGTTTCTTAAATTCTTTGAGAAAAATCTTCAACATCTTATTCTAAAACTACTGTTTTAGATAGAATTCCAGAAATAATAAAAGCTAATTTTTTAGCTTATTTATAGTTAAGTTTATTTGAATATTCTTCATTCTTATTATCCTATTAAAAAAATGAAGAAAGAGAAATGTATTTTTATTCAATATTATTAAACATTTTGGGCTCTATTTTTGTAAGAAAAGAAATTGTTTGTTAAATATCATCAAGTAAAATATTAAAAATTTCGTTTATATTATTAATTTTTTATATTTTTTAGACTTCTTACATTATTTTCTCCTCACAAGTACCATTTCCTTTTTTATACAAAGCAAGTATTTGGAAATATCTTTTAAATATTTTCCAAATAGAAATAATAAATTCACATTATCCTTCATATTCGTAAAATTCTCCTTTAAAATCTAAATCATCTTTAGCTTTTTCTTAAAAATTTTGTAAATATTTTAGCCTTTGAAAATGCATTTCAAATGTTTTCCAATTATATTTTTAATAATATATTCTAGTTACAAATAATTCCATTAAAATAACCATTCTTGGTTATACTTTATAATCACTTTAATGAATTTTCTCTACAATAGACATTATTCTTTATTTTTTCCCGAAACTATTATTTGTATATTCATTATCATTATATTCTATACCTAAGCTTATTACATATTCAAATTTTTATTCAAGGAGTTTTATAATATTTTACATTAAACAATTTTCTTCAATTTATTATAAATATCTAATATCTTCATTTTAAAAGTTTTTATTTATATAATTATATATTCTTTTAGCACTTAAATATATGCTTTTTAATTTTTATATTTTAGGATGAATATGATCAAATACTATTGCATCAAAATAAATAAATGATAAAGCTGAAAATACTTCTCCTAAAAAATACCATCCCATAAAATCGTTTTTCAATAAAATATAAGACGAAAACATTGTCTCAGCCTTTATTTTTTATTTTTTAAAAAAATATTTTTTTATTTTATTTACATATTTTAAAGCTTATCTTCTACTTTTAAAACTAGGTTTACTATTTTGATTAAGAATTTCTTAACTGGGATCATATTGACATAAAGCACGTCCAATAAGTAATAATAAATTAGAAATAAAATCATCTTTCTAAAGCTATTCGAAACAATTTTAATTATCACAAAAGCAAGAAGTAAGAGTCTTTCTTTTTATTGAATGGAAAAAGTTAGAAATTTTTTCATTTTAAAAGTTTCTTTCTGCAAAGAAGTCCAGAAATTAATTTTGTTTTTCTTTAAAATTTTTACATATAGCCCATTTGCTTTCATTAGCTTTAATAAAATCGAAAGCTCCAATAGAAGCTTAAATCATTGACAAAGGAAAGACAAAATTAAGTTTACAAAAGCAATCCTGGAAAACGATTTTAACAAATTTAACAAATAATTAAATTTCTTCCATACTATGATAATTACAGACTCCCACTTCATTAATATTAGCATATTTTTAGGTATGAACTTTAAAATTGCATTTAACTTTTAGC